CGGGGCGGGGGCGGGCGCGGCTCTCCGCTTCTCCCCGGCCGTTCCCCGGCGCGATGTGGCTGCCGGAGCCGCAGGCCGGCTCCGGCTCGCCGGACTGCCCTGACCTGCTGCAGCACGTCCAGGCGCTGCACTTGCCCTCCACCCCGCTCTACCTCAGCTTCTTCGAGGAAGAATGTCGCGCCATCGCTGAGCGCCTGCACCTCGCGGCGGCCGCGGAGCCCTCGCCGGGCCAGGGGGAGCTCAGCGGGCTGCAGCCCATAACCCCCGGCCCCGCCACCTCCACGCCGCTGCCCTTACCGAGCCACGGGCGGGTCCCAGACTCGAGCGCGGGCGATTGCGAGGCCGCTGCTGCCCCTGGCCCGGCCCCGGCCCCGGCCCCAGGGGAGCGCGGGTGCCTCCCGCAGCCCGCGGCGGGCGCTGGCCCCGGCCGGGCCGCGGCCGCGCCAGGCTCGCTCTGCCCCGCGCACGGGCCTCGCTGGGGCTGCAGCCCCCCGCGGCCGGCGCGGGGCGAGGCAACTGGGAAACACGGCTCCTCCGGCCCCCAGGTAAGCGGGGTCACGGCGGGGAGCCCCGGCACGGCCGCCGCCCGCCCGGCGCTGCAGGACCCTCTCTCTCCCCCAGGGGCCAGGCTGAAGCTGACGTCGCCTGCCAGGTCCAGGCTCCAGCGTGCCAGCGGGGTTTCACAGCGGGCGCAGCCTTCCCACCTTCCCAAACTCGCCCCCCGGGGCGGAGGGATGAAAAGTAATGCTGCACCTGCCAGTAGCGTCGCGCGAAGCAGGGAAACACGTAGGTTAGGGTGCTGCGTCGAGAAGGGAGAAGGGGAAGGGCTTGGGCTGCAGCGTGGCTGGGGACAGGGCATGAGGAGTGGGGAGCCCATGGGAGTGGCACAGGTAGGAGCCTAGGAAACGGTCCCGTTAACAACCCGAGGGGTGTGTTAACACTGTCTGGCCTCCCTCCAGTGTGGGCTGGCAGTCTGTTGACTTTGAAGCCTTCACCCTGTGGTGTTGTGGGGTCATGGGGTACTGGTGCCTGTGTGCCCAGGGCAGGCAGCCTGGCTGAGCCCCGGGCTGCCTGAAGAAGGTGCGATGGAGCTGCTTGGGAATAGCGGCCTCTGTGTTTACTGTTCACTACAGCTGCTGCCAAGGTTGGGAGTTGTAAACAGTCCTCCTCAAGGCCTTCTACAGAAATTCCTACTGTGGCTTCCCGCTCCTCACTGCGGCCTCTGGAAAAAGTGACTTTGTCCAAGCATTTTTGCCTCAATAAAGGTGAGTCTTGGCAGAAGCCTCAGAGGCTGCAGAGTTGTAGGAGAGGGGTAATGCTGCTGTGCAAAAAACATTCAGGTGTTGGCTGCAGGGTCAAAGCTCATCCTGGGGAAAGGACTGGGGGACTACTGCATGTGCTTGGGCTCAGAGGAGGGGAGGTGAAGTGCAGAGCAAGCAAGGCTGGGTGAAGTCCTTTTCCCCTTTTGCTGCAGAGGCATCCAGCAAAGAATCTGAACAAATCTGGTGCTCAAGGCTCATTCACAGGAGAGGGAGTGGCCATGGTCAGGGGTTGATGCTCTTTATTTTCCTTTCCTGGGTCTCACTTCAGTATCAACTACAGAGGATCTGGTGTGCAATAGGACCCGAGAGCTGAAGGAAAATGATGAGAGGAAAGAAAGGCTGGTTGCAGCAAGCATTGTCTTGGGAGCAGGTGAGCAGTATGGAGGTGTAGATTCTTGCCTTGTGTTGGGGAGAGTGTGGAGAAACATGGACAGCTGCTTGTTGGGCAGCGCTGCTCCCCAGATGGGCCCTGGCTGACCAGGTGTGGCCCTGGCTGAGGATGCTCCAGCCCGTGCTGCAGGCAGGGGGTGCTGCCTTCACAGGAACTGCAGCTGGGCAGCCTGCAGTCCTGAGCCCTGCAGAGGGAAGGGAGGCGAGGAGGCTCTCCCCACTCTGCTGCCACAGCCCTGTCCCACCCTGCCGGGCAGCTGCCTGCCCTCACTGTGAGAGCAGACTCCTAGCAGGAGCCCAGAGCTGCTGGGAGCAAAGCCATGCAGGAGCACTTTCTCCCAGCAGCAGCTGCTGGGCTGGAAGTGTTGGGAGACTTCTGACTCTCTTGGACAGGTTCTGTTCTTTACTGATCTGGAGCAGCTCTGTGGCCAGGTTGAAGAGCAGCTGAGGATAGCAGGTTTCTGGTGCTGACACTTCTCTTCACAGGTAGAAATGACCAGACGTGGGAGTGCGTGGAGTCCTCTTTGTCCAGTGAGTTGGCCCCTGTCCTGACTTCACGGTGTGAAGATGCAGTCCCTGCTGAGCAGGTAAGGGCCAGCTGTGTCCTGTCACCATGGAGCACTGTCCAGTCTCTGGCTTGGGCCAGCTGTGCCAGAGGTAGGAGATGATGGGAGCTGGACCTGCCAATTTCTGGCTGGCACTTGTGCTGTTTCAGCCTTTCTCTGGGGTTTACACAGGACTATGGGCATTTTTTGCATGGCTTTACCACCTCTCCATGCTCAGGGGACTGCAGGCTTCTGTCCAGCTAGATTTTCTAATGGCCTTTTGAAACATGCAGACTTCATGTGGCTTGTGTTGTCACTTTTATATGTCCTGAGATGTAGGACATGGCCCCAGGATGGGGTGTGCAGAGCCTGACAGATGAATCTCCAAGTTAGGAAATCTCTTACCTGCAAAATAAGTTCATGCATTTCCCATCAGTTTTAGGGCTCTTCACTGTGTGGCTGCAGCCAGCCAAAGGCATTCTTGTTTGCCAGGGTGCTGGCAGATGCTCGCTACAGCCGCTCCTTTGCCAGACACTGCTCCTGTAATGGATGTGCCCTGGCAGTGGTCCCCAGGGGGTTGAGCTTGGAGTATTGGATGGGCTGCAGTGCTCCTCCAGAGGATGGGCTGTGTTATGGGGGGGGTGCAGCTCCCTGCATCACACTTGCACCCTGCTCTTGCCAGTCTGCAGGTGATCAGCTGTCCCAGGAACTGGAGCGTGTGAAGAAAGAGCTGGAGCAAGTGAAGGGCGAGCTTGGTACGTGGAGCTGGTTGTTCTGAGGACTGCGGGACACCTGGAGTCCAGGTGACATCTCCTCTGCTTGTACCTGGAGCCTAGGGCCTGCAGCTCCATGGGAGTGGGGCTGGCTTCATGTTTAGGGGGTAGAGCAGGATCTCAGCTGCTGCCCTAGAGAGTCTGGGCGTGAGGTGTTTAGGACAGGCTGAGCACACCCCTTCTTGCCTTCTGTCTGCAGCTGACAAGACTGCCCAGTGTAAAGCCTATCAGCAGACAATCTCCTCCTTGCAGGCTCAGCTCAGAGCAGCAGGTATGTTCCCTCACTGTGGTGAGCCCTTGCTTCCAGGCAGGCTGCAGGGATGCTCCAGTGATCCCTTGAGGCTGTGAAGTGGGAGGGATACAGCTCATACAGGCCTTCTCAGGGCTCAGGTGCTGAGTGCCAGAAGCATTACTGCTTTGATATTGCTGTTGCTTCCCAGGAATCTGTCTGAAAGATGCAGCAGTGTTCGACAGTGGTGAGCTGGGGAAAGACTGACAGCTGGGACATGGGGACAGACAACAGCCATTGTCTAGCTGTGCGAGCCCCTGGGCCAGTGATGTATGTGGAGCTCTTGAATGAATTAATTTTTCAACTCCTTGTATGTAAAATAAAGGTATCTTTTGCAGTGATGCATGCTGTCTGCTTGGGTAGAGGCAGTGCCCAGTGCTGCCCACTGATCCCCACTGGGCAAACAGGGTAGGTCTGTGCTTGGCTATGGCTGGTTTTGCTCAGCCAGAGATTTGACATCTGTTACAGGAAGGAGCTCGGTGCTGGTGGATGGAGGTACAGTGTGGCTCTGGGGAAGCATTTCTGGACAAAATTGATGCTTCCAGGTGGAATGCTTGGATGTGTGGTGGTGGTAGGCAGCTGTATGGGCAGGTTTCTTCCTTAGGTCACCTTCACATTGGATGTGGGAAAAGGCACTGCTGGCTTATGGCACATTAGACTTCTGCAGCCTTTGGCTATTTATTACTGCTTTATTATCAGTGACTGTGGGCACATGGTGGCACATGCACTTGGGACTCAGTCCAGTCCCTCACTGTTCTGCATGCTGGTGCTGGGAGCCCTGCTCTGCTGCCTTCCCTCTGGGTCATGGATGCAGGCACCTTCTTGCACTGCCTTGTGTCTGGGTGAGGCACTGGAGAGTCTGGTGCTGGCAGTGCGCTGAGTTTGGGCTGGGAAGGCTGGCCTGTTCCTGCTCCTGTTATTTCTGGCTGCCTTGGAACATGCACCCCTTCCTGGGGCACTGCCCTGGACTGTGTGCAGGGTGGCTGCACAGGGCTGCACAGCTGTGTTGGCTGTCTCCCACCCCTGCGTGGCGCTTGGTTGATGGGAAGCTCCAGTGCTGGCACAATCTGCAGCAGAGCCCTAACATGCTGTGTGTTCCCTGGACATGCACGAAGATAACTTCTTGGTGCAGGTACTAATGGAGTTGACTCCAAAAAGTGCCCTGCTATTTGTAAACAGAGAGGCACTTGTGGGTGAAGCTGGACTCAGTGGTCCTTATGGTCCCTTCCAATCTGAAATACTCTATATTGTTTCAGTTGTGGAGGCATCCAAGGATGGATGTGGATCTGTTTCTGCAGGTCTTCTGGCCCCTTTTGTGGGCTGGAGCCATTTCCTCCCCTCTTTTGATGCTGGCTGTGTTTACCTTGCTGCTATTTGCCTTCCTGCTGCTCCTGTTGAGACATGCACCTGGCTTGTTCCATGCCCCTGCCTGCTCCCGGCCCTTGGCTTGTGCTGCTGGATCAGGGCCCTGGATGATGGGAGTGGGGAGCAGTAAGACTGGGAGGTGAGGATGAGACACTGGGAAGACACATGTGGAGCTGCAGACATGTTCTGGTGTCCTGCTGCTGCTCCTTTCTGGAAACTGCTTCCCAGTGCCTGATGTTGCAAGAAGGTTTCTGGTAATAGGGAAATAATGTCATCTGCCACCCTGCTATTCTGGGTACCCTGTGTCTGCTTGTCTGGGACAGGGTGACCCTGCTTGGAGTCCTGCTGTGCCCGTGGTGCTGCCTGTCCTGTCTGAGAGCATTCTCAGGATGGTGCTGCCCAGGTGGGTCCCTGCCTACAGCTGGCAGGAGCGGGGGGTGTCTGAGTAGAGAGGCCACGCTGTGCTGTCTGCGGCTTGACCTTACTGCGTCATGGGGTCAGGAAGGGAGGTTGCTGAACTGCAGTTCCTCGATTCTGAGAAGTGGTGGCAGAAGAGCTTGCGTCACTTCATTAGAAGCATGAGCTAGTGTTTCCATCACCTCGTATTCCCGGAGTTTCCCCCCACCCAGAGGATGCGGGGGAGGCCTGGCGCTCCTGCCTGCCCTGCTCTGCTCCCCTCCGCTCTGCAAGAGGCTGAAAAGCTTTTCGCCTCGACAGCGGCAGTGCCGGAGCAGGGCATTGCCCATGATGCCGGCGAGGGGCTGGCTTACCTCTCTGAGCTGCTGCTTTGAATGGGCGCTCACGACAGGCCAAGCCCGGGATTGCATCAGGCGCGGCCTGCTGACAGCAGCTCCCAGCCTGAGCGCTGGAGAGGATGATGCTGGCCCCTGCCTCTGCCCTGGCTGCCCAACAGCTCTCCCAGCGCTGGCGTTTCCCATCACTTAGGGCTGCCTGTTGCTCCCAGAACGGAGGGGCTGTAGCGGAGCACACGGAGCTCGGGGGAGAGTCACCGCACCAGGCTGCGCTCCGCTGGCAGTGCTCACGGCACATCTGGACCCGGGGAACCCTCAGCTGCTCCCTCCGTGGCGTGTCCCGAAGGAGCAGGGTGCCTTGCCCTGGTCCCGCCGGCCGAGCCGTGCCTCGCCCCGTGCCACTTGCCCTGGAATTTATATTTTCAAAAACGAGCGCGGGAACGAGGGCGGGTGGGGTAGGAGGAACTCGGCTCTGCCTGCTCCCGCCTCCTCCCCTTTGGGTGAAAGCTGCTGAGGCGCCTGTTCCCGCCTCATTTCTGCCTATCCATCACGGGCGGAACTCGCCCCCATCTCATGCTCTCGGCCGCGGCGCGGAACGGAACCGAGCTCACCTGAAGGGGATCGCACGGGGGCGAGCCGAGCCGAGCCGAACCGCGCCGCAGGTGAGTGGTGGCGGGCGCTGCCGCCGGGCCGGGAGGGGCTTGGCGCAACCGGTGCCGCTCTTGCATCAGCTGCCGCCAGCCCGCACGTGGCCGGTCCCGCCGCCGGGCCGCATCCTGCCGGCCCCGCATCGCCGGGCCCCGCGGTGGCACTCCTGGGGAGCGGAGATGCCCCCGCGGGGGCTGAGGCGGTGGTCCCGGGCTAGCAGCTTCCCACACCTACGCCAAGTCGCGGCGGGATGCGATAGCTGCCGGGCTGCGGTAGGCACCGGGATGCAGCGGGAGCCTCCCGCTGCCGCCTGACCCGTGCGGATCTCCAGTCGGGTACTTGGAACCATTGAGCAGCGCTGGGGAAGGCAGCTAGAGTTGTCCAGGTAGTATTGAGGAGGGTGCTAGTGCTGGGGCACTTGTTGCACTTGGGGTCAAGGCTGAATGTGAGACGTGCCAGCTCCGGAGAAGGTTTATCAAGAAGCAGGATGGTTTGCTGGTTTTCGAGAAACAGCAAGAGTTGGAGGATGCTACTGTTATCCTGATAATCCTCTATGGAAATGGTCACAAAGTTGTCCTTGTGTGCTTAGGCTGATACACTTAGCGTGGCATGAGGTCCTGGGCACCTGGATGGAGTGTTGTCATTTTCCCATGAAGGGAGAAGGCAGCAGGGAGAATACACTGGTGGCTGGGTGGTTCAGTGCGGGCAGAGGTGCCAGCTGTGGCCATGGGCATTGGGAACAACTTTCCTTGCAGCTCCTCTGTGCTGGATGCCTGCTTCACAGGTTGCTCATCTTCAGAGCCTTTTGGGGAGATAGGTGGCTGCTGTGATTAAGAGGAGTGGGGATGTCATATATTCGGGGTGATTACAGCCTGTAGAGCTTGCAGAACTGCTTAGCAAGCACTGTTAGCACCAGGAACCCATGCTGTTTATCTGTCTGCTTATGCATCCCTGTAGAGAATGTGGTGCAGATACTGAAAGCAACAAAGGAATGAATGGCTGCCTCCAGTGAGTCAGCCCAGCTTGTTAAATCCTGTGCTGGAGGGATTCTTTGTCTCCACATCACTGCTGCTGTGCACACCCATGTGCCAGGCTGGAGAAATGTACCAGCAGTCAAGTTTGGTTTGAAGGATCTCCAGACTGCCAAGCCTGAGAAACAATGGACAAGCTTTGGGATGCACCTATGAGCTCTGTGGTTAAGACCATGCAGGGCTTGAGCAATGCGCATTTCCCAGCATGGACTGACTGGGTTCATCACTGACTCACGGTCATGGTGGCAGGGTGTGTGCAGCCCCACAGTGCCTTGGAGGGTGCCACTACCACGGTCTCTGGCCAACCAGTATGGCAGGAGTGTGGTGCCAATGAGTGAGCTAGGAGCGGGCTCCTGTGGGCATAATTTCCTATCCTGCCCCTTGAAGTGCCAGTCCCACTGCCTAAAGGACACTGAGATTCACATTTCCCTTTTCTTGCAGGGCTTTTGACCAGCTGAGCTTCACTGAGGAGAAGACAAGATGTTGGGGGAAAAAATGGCCGGTTTTGGGAGGAAGTTGATCCGCCGGCGCGTGGTGGACCTGAGCTCTGATGACACACATTTTGCTCGCTGCCTCTCCACACTGGATCTCATATCCCTGGGTGTGGGCAGCACACTAGGGGCTGGTGTGTATGTGATGGCCGGAGAGGTAGCCAAGGAGATGGCTGGTCCCTCCATTGTCCTCTGCTTCCTGGTGGCTGCTTTCTCATCGGTACTGGCTGGACTCTGCTATGCAGAGTTTGGGGCCCGTGTCCCCAAGGCCGGCTCTGCGTACCTCTACAGCTACGTCACCGTTGGTGAGATCTGGGCTTTTATAGCCGGCTGGAACCTCATTCTCTCCTATGTGATAGGTACGAGGCCAGGCAGCATGTGTGGGCTCCTTCCAGCACCCTGCTGGCAGCATTGGGGGGTTTCTGGGGGTAGCATGTGGTGCTGTGGGGGCAGGGTGTGGGGTGGGATCAGCAGGTGCGGGTGGCTGGTGCCCATCTGCCCTGGGCTCAGATTAATGCACAGATTTGCCATCAACCAGGTACGGCCAGTGTGGCTCGAGCCTGGAGTGCAACATTTGACAACATCATCGGCAACCACATCTCCACCTTCTTCTCCAGCAAGATCCCAATGCACCTGCCAGGAGTGCTGGCTGAGCATCCAGACTTCTTTGCTTTGATCCTGATTTTGCTGCTCACGGGTGGGTGTGCAGGAGAGTGGCTCCAGGGTACCATGGGTGATGGCATGGCAGCCTGATGGGTTCTCACTCACCTCTTCTGTCCCCACAGTACTGCTGGCTTTTGGTGTCAGCGAATCTGCCCTCGTGAACAAAATCTTCACAGCGGTGAACCTGTTGGTGCTGAGCTTTGTCATCATTGCTGGATTCATCAAGGGAGATATCAAGAACTGGCAGCTTTCAGAGAAGGACTGTATCAACTGCTCGCTGCCAGACTCACCGGATGACATGTAAGTAGAGCAACTGTGCCAGGCTGGGACCTGGCATAGGGCAGGCACAGGCCCTGCTGTCCCCGCGTCTCACAGGAGCTGCTCTCCTGCATTTCTTCCAGGAAAAACGCTTTTGGCTCTGGTGGGTTCTTCCCGTTTGGACTGGGAGGGATGCTGACTGGCGCTGCCACCTGTTTCTATGCCTTTGTGGGCTTTGACTGCATTGCCACCACAGGTACTGCCTTGGGGGAGGGTGGCGTGGGCATTTCCCCTGCACAGCCAGCAGCTGGTTGGGAGCTGATGGGGAGGATGCTACATGGTGTGGGAAAACAGCTGGTCTCACTGCTCCTGGGAGGTTTCCCTGTGAAGTCTGTGTCTTCAGCTGGGCCAGACAAAAGGGCTCAGAGCCTGCCTTGCCCCAGGAAAAGTGGCTCATTACACCACATGGTGGGAGCAGGGCTGCACCCTGCCTGCACAGCCAGCTCCCAGAGCAGCGGGGAGCCTTTTGACTGCTGAGCCGAGCCTGCAACAGTGCTGGGAATTGCTTGTGCCTCCTAGTTATTTCCCAGCCTCAAGCAGCCTTTTTCCAAATGACTGGGTTCATGCAAAACTGCTGCTTCCTGGAGCACAGGCAGCTCTCTTAATTTCCTCTCATTACCCCAGAAATCTACTTAGTGGGTGGCTGGTACAGGCTGTTCTGCCTGACCTTGCTGGTGCCACCCTGCCTCTGGGGGCTGCCCAGCATCTCCTCCTTTCCTGGTGCCGAGCCCCTTGCTGGGAGCGTGGTGCAGCACACCTTTGCAAAGCTGAGGCACACATTCAAAGAGGACCTCCATTCAACAGGCTCTGTAGGGAGAGGGAGCTGATGGTGGTGGAGAAGGGCTGGCATGGCCAAGGGGTGGCTGCAAGCCCAGGCTGCCAGGCAGCTCCATTCCTTCTGCCAGTGCAGCAGCAGCATGGCCAGGGACCCCTCCTCTCCAGCAGCCCCTGCTTGCTGCTTCCCAGCCCTGCGCTGCCATAGAAAGTCCCCACTCTGGCTCATCCCCTGGGGGTACCTGTCCCATGCTGTGCAGTGGAGTGGGGCACATGTGGCCTCTTGTGTCTGGACAGGAGAGGAAGCCAGGAACCCGCAGCGCTCGATTCCCATTGGCATCATTGTGTCCCTCCTCATCTGCTTTGTGGCTTATTTTGGGGTCTCTGCATCCCTGACTCTCATGGTGCCCTACTTCCTCCTGAACAAGAACAGCCCTCTGCCTGAGGCTTTCAAGGCGGTTGGTTGGGAGCCCGCCCGCTACGCCGTTGCCGTTGGCTCGCTCTGTGCCCTCTCCACCAGGTAAGACTGGCCTGTTGCTGGCACTGCTTGGGACACAGCACTGGGACTGACAGCACTAACCTGGCTGGGCTGGGGATTTGCTCTGTCCAGCTGCTGTCCTGCTCCTGGCACAGAGCTGGTCCCTTCCCCTTCTGGGTGGTAGATGTGGGCAGCTTGCCTAATCTCTCTCCACAACAGCTTGCTGGGCTCCATGTTTCCCATGCCCCGAGTGATCCATGCCATGGCAGAGGACGGGCTGCTCTTCAAGTTCCTCTCCCGGATCCACAGTGGCAGAAAGACCCCTCTGATCGCCACCTTTGTCTCAGGGTTTTTCGCAGGTAAAGCTGCTGGCCACCTCCTCGCACCCAGCCCTGCGGTGGCTGGAGCTGTGCTCATGCTGCCTGTCCTCCTTGCAGCGGTGTTTGCCCTCCTGCTGGACCTGAAGGACCTGGTGGACCTCATGTCGATTGGCACGCTGCTGGCCTACTCCCTGGTGGCTGTGTGTGTGCTCATCCTCCGGTGCGTGACTCCTCGTGTTTGGCGGTGCCCAGGGTGGATGTTCCTCACATCGTCCTGGGGGCTTGTAGCCACAGCTTTTTTCCAGGGGCATGCATCCTGGGGAAGTGCCAAGCCCCCAAGATGGAGGCTGCTGACCAGAGCCTGTGTGTGTCTCTGGGCATATCCTTGGAGTGGCTGTCGCGGGGCCACTGCCGGAGCAGCAGGGATATGAAGGTGCTGCCCACTGTTCCCTTGGGCTAGGAAGTTGCTTGGGCTCTGCTGCAAGCTTGTCTTACCTGCTCAGGTACCAGCCCCGACAGCCGAACTCCCCGAAGGCCACGGAAATGCTGGAGCTGAATGGGAACGAGGAGGAGACGGTGATTATGAACCCGACCATCACTGCTGCCAATGCCCAGCACAAAGAGACCTTGTCCCTGGTGATGCTCTTCAACCCGCCTGGGGACACCCCCACTGTGCTCTCGGGGCGCATTGTCTATGTCTGTGTCACGGTCATTGGTGAGTGAGTGGGAACTGGCGGCTGGTGTCCCCTCCTGCCAGGGGCTGCAGTGTTCTGGCGTGTCTCTGTAGAGCTGGGAAGGGATGGAGAGCATGCCAGGCAGGGGAGAGGGGCCAGGTTGCCAGTCGCTGTTGGCAGTGCCAGCAGGTGCTGCACCCTAAGCAGGGTGCCAGTGCAGGGTACAGCTGTGGTTTGGGGTGGACAGGCATTGTTGGAGGACAGGGGTGCTAAGCCAGGGATGTGCAGGTGGTCTTGGGAGATCCCTGTGATGAGTCTGACCCACACTGGCACCAGCAAGGGCAGCGCCCAGCCCCTTGAGAGTGCTTGGGCTCAGCCAGCGGGGTTTGATCCATCTATCAATGGCCCCATTGTACAGCCAGAATGGGGAGGCTCAGCCAGGTCTGGGCAAGCGTCAGAGCTGGGTCCAAGCCCAGCCAAGCTCAGGCTCCCTGCAGCTTGCTGGTCTGGGAAGTGCCTCCAGCAAAGAACTTTCCTAAGGCTTTGGGGCACAAAGAGAGGTTTTGGGGTGTTAGAGACAGCTAGTGCTGGACCTGACCAAGGGCAGTGGGTGCCTCAGCCCAGCTGTGGGTGAGGCTCAGGGCCCCAGGGAGGCCATGCCCTCCCCTGACTACCCCTTATCTTGCAGCTGCACTGATCACAGTCATCTGCGTGGTCCTGAGACTCCATATGGCTGCGCTGAAGGAGGCCAATGTGGGCTGTGTTGTGGCTCTGGTGCTGCTCCTCATGGCTCTGCTCATTTTCACCATCATCATTTGGAGGCAGCCACAGAGCAATGCACGATTAAACTTCAAAGTGAGTGCAGCCCCCTGCATCTTGGTGTCTGCACCCCCTGGACTCCGTCAGGACCTGGGCATTGCAGTGTCTGCCAGGCCTTGCTGCCAGGCAGTCACCAGGAAAGCTCAGGGCACTGAAACGTCTCTCTGAGGGGCAGTCCTCAGTGTGGAAGTGCCTGAGAGCTCTGGGCTGTGGCAGGGAGGGAGTCCTTCTATTGGCCAGTAGCATCCTCGAGCCCAGAAATACAGCTGACACAGTTTTCTTGTCCCTTGCAGGTACCTTGCCTCCCACTCGTGCCAATCTTCAGCACCTGCTGGTCCTTCAAGACACAGCTGACACAGTATTTCTTGTCCCTTGCAGGTACCTTGCCTCCCACTCGTGCCAATCTTCAGCACCTTCATTAACATCCTGCTGATGGTGCAGCTGAGTGCCGCCACCTGGGCGCGGTTTGCCGTCTGCACGGTTCTGGGTAGGTGTCCTGTGGTGGGGAGGGCAGTGCCCACAGCTCTCTCCTGGGGGTCTGTTAGTGCTGACAACCCACCATTGCACATTTCATTGTGGAAACTGTCCTGCAGGTTTCATTATTTACTTCACCTACGGGATTTGGAACAGTGTGGAAGGGAAAAATGCGGAAAAAGCCTGTGCCACCGTAGGAAAACCTCTGCACCATCCTGGACTGGACCTCAGCCCTGGGGCTGCTGCGGTCTGAGGGCCTGGGGACCAGCACTCCATGGACCGCTTTGCCACTTTGGGACAAGGTCATGATCCATCTATCTCCTCTCCTGCAGAGACTGAGTCCCAGGGTGAAGTACTAACATCTGAACAACAGGCCCTGAGCCAAAGCTGACCTAGGATGAACACTCCAACCAAATGTTGTATGTTTCCACTTTAACAAAGTATTGTTATATGTACTCACTTATTGGCAAAACATGTTCACCTTTCTGTATCTAGAAACAGGACAGGGCCACATCTGGCCTAATTAGGTGGTATAGGATCAAAAGCAACTCCCTTGGATCCTCCTTGAGCCCTGGCCAGGCTTTGGGAGAAGCTGACAGGAAAATGAAATTAGAAATTATGTCAGTTGGTTTGTTTAGCAGTGTAAAACCCAGGCCACTGTCCCAGCAAAGTGGGGGAGCCTCGTGGGCTGCAAAGGAGGAGGCACTGCAGGAGTTCCCAGCTCCTGGCGTGGTTCTCCAGTCCTTGGCTGTGGCAGCTTCCCCCAGAGCTGCTGTCTCTTGGGCTTGGATGATGTGTGATGGATCATCCTTCATCACTGTAGGCATTCTTTCCTAGCAATGATTAGCATTGCTCAGCTTGTCCCTTTGCAATTCTTTGCTCATGGTTAGGTGCCTTGCTTAGCTTATCCTTTTGTGATTCTTTGCAGTTTTACATCAAGGTAATGCCACTGTTCCTTAAGTTGGTGTCTGTGTCTCTGACTCTACTCACCAGCAAAACAAAATCAGCGTAGTCAGCAGGGTCAGAACAAACTGTTGCTTTTAAAATCTAAATGAAAGGAATCAGCCCTGTCTGAAATTCCCAGATGGGAAGTTCACTGGTCCTCAAGTGGGCTAAGGTTAGAGGACCACGTGAAGAATGGGGAATCAGTTAAAAGAAGTTGAACTGCTGGATGTATTTAAATGCATTAAAAAATTGCATACTGAAAAAGGAAAAGAACTTGTGGATTAGAAAGGCAAAGAAGAATTTTGTTAACAGTATATCAAACAAAACACCAACAAAAGGAACAGTTGTTGAAATGCTCTAACATGGACCAACAGATGTGAGTTGTAGAATCAAATTGTAATGCTAAAATGCCCAAATAAGCTGCTTGCTGATAAGATGGATTTACCAGACTTGCTGAGAAAGCTGCAGTTAGAGTAGCTCAGTATAAGGAAAGGAAAGGGCAAGTGAATGACAAGAAAATGCATGCAGTTATTGCAGAGGCAGGTGTGCAGTGGGATCCTGATAAATGGAATGGAGATATTTGGGATTCTGTGCACTCTGATGAGGTTGGTTACTGAGATGAATTTTGTAGATGTGAGACCAGCATGGAGACGAAAGGTAGAATTAGATGCTAATGGTCAGGAGGGATACTCATAGAGGATTATACTCAGCATGAAATAAATTAAATATTTGAACAGTTTAGGAAAAAACAGGGGAACCTCTTTTCTCTTGGGTGGTGTGCTTGCATGACCAGGGAGCATGAGGGATAACCCTAGACTCAGGGGACTCTAAGAAGTTTTTAGTTTGAATTTGGATTCTTTTGTGTAGTATGCATTTTGGAATAACATTCACAATACTAATTTGTTAGTTTTGGTTACTTTGGCTGTAATACTAAATACCCTACAGAAAATTATTGGCCAGGATCTGAAAGTCAGTGGTACACTTAGTGAGATTGTGTACGAGATGTATGAAAACCTCTTGTGATTTTGTATTTCTAGAGAATATTACTGAAGATACAAGTAGTCACTCCAATATTTGTACCTGTAACTTTATTGCAATTACAGGATTTTTGTTATTTATTTTTTGTTTCTATTTTTTAAATGAATATTTTTAGTTTTTTACCTCCTGTTATATCCTGTCAATTTTTGGAATCTAACTATACCCTGATTCAAGACTTCCAGCCTACTCCCATTGGTATGAACTGGTAAAGGTACTGCTCCAACACAGACCTGAGGCTTGCTGAAACAAGCCCAGGAGAATGGATAAAAGGTTTTGATTGCTGTCCATCATGGCATGGCAGAAATCCATCATGTGGTGTAGGCACCCAGTTTGGGGTGGCTGGGATGGGCTGGCCCAGCCCCATACCCAGTGAACAGCTGTGAGCAGCACTGACAGCAACGAGCCAGGGAGTGCCCAGGGGTGCTGAGCACCCACCAAAGGGAGCAGAGGGCACACAGGGGCAGGGCATCAGCATCAGGGGTGTGAAAGGCTGGGCTAAAGAACAAGAAGGGAGATGCTTGCAGCCTTCTGAGGTGATATAGTACTCTGTGTGGGCAGGTATGTGGAGCCTTCTGAAGGGGTCTGGTGTCACTGTATGGGTTGAAGCTCTCTGGTATTGTATGGTGACACTGTGTATTGTGGCCATCTCAACCTGTGCTGTGACAATGTGGTGGAGTGGGTGAAGAAAGATGGAGAACACGGGTGGTGGGACATTCTTTTTGGATGGGTGCCTACAGCTACCAGAATTCTCAACTGAGTGCTTCACCCTGGTGTTGTTTTATTGATGCTAATCCTTTTGCTTTCTGTTCTGGTAATTGCATATTATGTCAAGGTTTGGATGATCATGAAACAATTAGCTTACCAACTACCTCCACTGATAGTAGACAATCCATGTGGTACCAAAGCATGAAATTTCTCAAGCTCTATTTGGATATTGTGAAGCTTGAGTGACTATAGTCACAGAGAGTGTATTGTGTAGGAAAATGACTGGGAACTGTGTGGACAGGTAACTGGGGGTACAATTAGAGGAAACTGAGGACTTAGAACAGTGTGGAAATTATAGGATATATATATTCCTTAATTTGGTGTGTGTGTCTCTGACCCTACCTACTAGCAAAGCACAGAGCTGGGACTGCAGAGCTGGGTCATGTGCTGCCTCTCCCCCTCACAGGGAAGTCCCCTGGCTGGGTGGGAGTGCTGGTGGCCCAGGGCTGGTCTCTGCCCTCCTCCAGTCCCACAGAGGGGCAGTGGCACCAGCACAGCCCTCTGGTCATGAAAGCTGCTTTCTCTGTGCACAGGAGGCCCCACGGAATGGTGCAGCTGTACTCATTCCATCTGTCATGTGGCTGTGTTCACCACCTCCTCCCTGCTTCCCAAGTGCCAGACTTGTACGTGGCAGCCGTGGCTGGAGCTCTGCAGAAGGCTTACTGCAACTTGTTCTGGTACTCACTGCTAGCAAACTGGTACTGCCCTGACCATGCTGTTTGATGTAAATATCTTGTTCAAGTGTCAGTGAGATGTCCTCAGTGTAGTTGTACTTGTGTCCAACCTCATCTGCCTTTGTATAATTTTAAAGCAAATTTTTAACTATTAAATTAAATGTTTTTAAGTGCTTTTTCCTGTTGGTTTTGCTGTTAATGGCCTGTGGTCATGGGCCCCTCAGCAGGACCCTACATGCCACTGGGCTGGGTGCCAGGCTGGTGCCAGTGCAGAACAGTGCAGACAGCAAGTCTGGTAAATCCAGTGCAGAACAGTGCTTGGTCCCAGCCAGCTGTGCTGGGTGACATCCTGCCCAAAACCTGCCAGCTGGAGCCACAGTGCTCACTGTGAGCCAGCAGCTGTGAAGCAGTGCTTCAAACCAGCTCCAGCCAGTGCTGCTGGTACCTGGGGGGCAGGACAGCAGCCTGCCATGTGCTGCCTTTCAGGCCCTGTGCAGGGAGGGATTGTGCCACCAAGCTCCAGAGCAGTGGATACAGTAAGAGCCTTGGAAATATTTCTTCCTGGAGGTGCCAGCAATGGCCTGAAGAGGAAGCCTGACCAGAAGCTGGGCTGCATCCATTAGAGAAGATGATTGTCCAGATTTTGATCTGGTCTAAATCAGATCTGACATAAGTATCCAAAAAAACCTAATTTAAGGCAGATGGACTGTGCTTGGTCTTGGCATCTCGCTGTTCCTTGGCAGTGGTGCAGGGTTACTGCACGGTCAGTGGGGAGGTACCTGCACCATCAGCTCTGCTTGGCCCCTGTGCTGGAGCTGTGAGCCTCCCCCAGGGTTGTCCCTGCAGCAAAAGGGGCTGTGGCTCTGCTCTGGCCTCAGCACAGTGCCCCAGGCTGTGGTGCCCTGCCAGAGCCTCAGGCTCCAGGCACAGGTGACACAGCAGGTGCTGCCAGCCCTCCTAGGCAGGCTGGTCCCTCAGTGCCACGCTGGCTTCACCACCCCACCTCGGGGGTATCTTCTGGCCAGGGGCAGCAGAGGGTCCCTGCTGAGCCCTGAGCCTGCCCTGTGCTCATTCCCCCAGTTTTGGGTGCTGTTACCCAGGGCAATGGGCCTGTGGTACAGCTGCAGCTGTCACCCCTGGCTGGGCACTGCTACAGCCCCTGTGCCTTTGTTTGTGTCTGTGTCCCCCATACACACGTGCACATCCATGCCCACGTCCATCTGTGGGGCTGTTTGTGCCCATGGGCACATCCCTGCCTTCCAGGCCATCCCACTGAGCTCTGCCCTGCCAGCCTGGGCATCCACTGGGGCTGGCAGAGTTCTGGGCATGGAGCAGAATTCTGGAAGCTCTGGACAGCTCCCACCATGGCAGCTCAGCAGGGAAAGCAGCTTTGGGGAGTCAGTGTCCCTCAGCCATGGCTACAGCAGCCCCACTCACCCCCAGGCTCTGGGCCAGGCATCCTGTCCTTGGCTACCAGCCTGTGGAGGCTGCCCCCAGCTCTGCACACTCGGGGGGTCCCTGCCTCCCCCTCTGTGCAGGCTAGCAGGGCTGCCAGGGATGGCACCACATCCTCTGCCTTTCCCAGGCCGTGCTGGGGTTACTGCACACCAGCTGGTGGTGAACACCACCCAGAACAACACTCAGAGCCTCGGTGTGTGCTGTCTGCACAAACCATCTGTTCCCACTGCTGCACCCACTGCCCCAGCAGCCTGCTCTGAGAGCAGCCCAGCTCCATCTTGCAGAGCCTGGGTGAAAAGCATGCTCCTGCTGAAGCCTGTCAGGGGCTGGGGGCTGGAGGGTGCCTTTCCCCTCCTGTACCAGTCTGGGAGGGGCCATTTTGTAGCTTCAAATCAGGAAAAAGCTGAGCCTGGCTTTGCTGTTGAGAGGCCTGTGGGGAAGGAAGCAATGCCCTGACACTTGGGTCATTTCCTCCCCAGGCTTGATTTGTGATTTCCTTGCTGCCATTTCCCCCTGGACTGACAGGGGAGCTGGAGGGCTGCTGAGTCCCAGTGTGTCTGGCCCAAGCCATGCTGAGCAGGCAGGTGGCTGGGGAGGCCTTTCTGTGGTCACTGACTGGTGACAATGTGCCCTGGGTCATGCCAGGGATGCAGTGCTGCTGAGTTGGGGTGTTGGGGGTGCAGAGGGGATGACTGTCAGCCTCCCTCTCATGTGACTCCACCACATCCCATGGCATTCATTACTTCATATCCAGCTGGTTTTGGGGGACATGGGGCTTTTCTGGTGGGCCCTTCAGAGCAGCTCTCTGGACACCAGATGCTTGCCACCTCCAGGGGGGCTGCCAAGAGGCCATGAGTGTGGCCATGCAGGCTGAGGGCAGGATGGAGATGGGGGGCTGTGCTGCTGAGCCTCTGGAGGGAGAGCAGCAGCTGCAGAGCTGCCCCTGCACTGCTCCCTGGCCAGAACAGGCCCTGGCAGGCAGAGATGTAGCAGCAGATTAAATTCTGATCCACTTGGGAATTAAAATAGGCTGGCAAGTCTGCTCTGCTCTGTGACACCAAATGCTGCAATGTGAGGAGTTAATATGCCATCTTCTTCCCTGTAAATCTGAGCACTGTCAGATCCCCTTCCCTGCTGGTGGAGGGGAGCTGCAGTGGCTGCTGAGTGGGATGAATCCATCAGCAGGGCCCGAGTCCTGGAATCTAGGGAATTGACTCCAGGCAATGGTGTAACAGAGCAAACTGCTATCAGCTCCTGACATTTCTGCAGCAGCACTGGGTTGTGCTCCCTCACAGTCCAGAAGGGCTGCAGGAAATCAAAGCTGCTGAAGGGTGAGATTCTTATCATTCCTTACTCCCCTGGCTCCAGGCAGGCCCCAACCCTTCTGCTCTCCATGGTGAGCTTAAGCACACATGACCCAGTAGCTGTGAGGAGCCTGTGTGCATCCAATAATCCTCTTGCCCTGAGCTGTGCCAGGTGGCCCAGCTCTCTATAAACACACAGGCTTAATGCTCGCCTCTCTTTGCCTCTGCAGGCCTGGCAGGATGACTTGCTGCCACGTGCTTGCTCTTCCCTCACTCTCCTTTCTTCCCAGTGTGCAGCTGGTGCCCTGGTTCCTGCTCTCGTCCCCCAGTCCACACTGCAACTAGGCAAAGGGTGCCTCCTCTCACAGCCTGTCCTGGAGCTGCCAGCATGCTGGGATGATGCCTGCACCCAGCAGGATGTCACCCTGGAGCTTCAGGGGAGTCTTTCTTATGAGACAGCTGTACCCCCACGGCACCCACACCTCACTGTGGGGGAAGTGAGCCTGTGAGTGAGTGGTGCAGAGAGATGGCAGAGGCAGCATGGGCAGTGCAAGTGGCACATTTATGGTGCAAATGGGAAGTTTTCCATCAGATGAACTACCCCTTCTCTGCCACCATCAAGATCACCAAAGGCTGCACAGGTGTGCTGCTTTCCTGACCTCATACACAAGAGATTTCTTGCTAATAACAGAGTTTTAAGACTGTTACATCCCCCTGTCCTCCTTAAGCTTTCCCATTTTCCTGTTGTGTTTACCCAGGCAACTATTCTAATTCATATTCTCTACACAGGACCTGACACTGATGGTGCTTTGCAAGGCTGGACAGATGACTGCTCATATTTTTCCATTTTTAAGTCAATGTTAAGTCCTGTTCCATTTCACTGCATCTCAGGGGCAGCCTGCATCACAGGCAGGTCAATGCTGACATTTTTTAAACCTGCCCAAGAATAAACATGCAGTTCCTTCAAGACTTGTGGCAGTTGTACAGGCACAGCAACCTGACTTGCAAAATAAACAGGTAGGAGACATTTTGACAAACTAAATGTAACACTCCTCCCAGCTCAGTTATCAAGACTTTGGGAAAATGTGAGTGTTAAACTAATTTAACTGCCTGGTCTGCACATAGGTGTGCAACAGTTTCTATCATCCTGGACAAGATAATGCATGAAAAATCATGACACATTACTGGGCAGGGAGCAGCTGCTATTGTTTACATAATACAAACCAAATTTACAGACAGAATTTAACTTGTTCAATGGAATTACTTGCCCTAGCTGAGAGGTTCTTGGGGACAGATCAAAAAGGGTTTACATTTCTTCTCGTCTCTTGTTTGGCCATAAGAACAGGCTAGAGAGTGCTGGCCATGGTCCTCTTAAAATAGGAAGAAACACTCTCTGAAGTGATCATTGAGCATTTGTTATGTTTTATAGGCTACTCCAATTGTGGGACAGGTGACAGGACAGGGAAAATTCTGAATTTTCTAGAGCTGCTGATATGAAACATAAGGACTTGTCTGATTCAGATACCAGTCCTCATGTTGATTCAGATTGGTTTTGACATCAGCCCTGAGCACAGCAGGAGAGGAAAAGCCAGCAAGGCAGAAGTACAGAGAACCATGGTGAGACTTGTGCACCCTCCTAGTGTCCACCTCTGTGTCTGCAAGTGACAGCAGCTTTAAGACACCAACAGATGTGTCCTGCCCCCCCCAGTTTGTCACTGAGAAAGTGGTTCTGACACACAAGCTGCAATTCTGCAGGACTTGACACTGGAGTGGCTGGACACCAGGTGCCCACCAAGCCACTTGTGTCACTTTCCTCCTCAGGGGTGTCCCCACCCATGGCAAGGTGCTTGGAACTAGCTGGTCTCTAAGGTCCCTTCCAACCCAACCCACTCTGTGATTCTGTGATGTGTCCAGGTTACTCCATGGAGAGGAGTAAGCTAACATTAACCTGGAACATGCACTTTCCCCAAAGCCTAGGGAAGTGTCTCCTCCTTGCTAGCTGATGGAGACATAGTTGGTATCTTGATTACATCCATAGGCACAAGGTGACATCCCTTATTTTGTTCCCAAGAGCTGAACAGCTGTTTGGCTCCCCTATCTTCCTGCTGACTTTGGGCCCTGTTATGCCAGCATCAGCAGCCAGTAAGGATTCCACATCCCTGGTGGCTGTAATCTTTCCACATGTCTCAAAGCTCTGACGAGGTTAGACTGGGTGGTTTCTACTTCTTGTCTGAATTCCCTCACTCCTTCCTGCATTTCTTTTCTCAAGGACCAGCTTCTTGATGGAACCCTTCCTCTCCCTCCTTCCCTAATACCTGGTGATAAAGACCTAGTGACTTCCATGTCCACTGGGTTTTTCCCACAACTGGTGCAACTGTAGTTCTTGTTTAGGCCTCTATCTCTACTATTCACCTCAGATGGAGTTTGTCCCTGGTCTCAGTCAAGTTACCCTCAGAGGTGGCTGGGGTCCCTGAGCTAACCACAGCCCTCAGCTGTGGCTTTGCAGGAACATGCCAAGCCCCAGCACAGTGCCAGAAGCTGCTGGGTTTCACTGGGGTAGGCACCTTCTGTCAGTTGGCATGTCAGTTTGCCAGGGTTACTTGCCTGTTCAGGTGTAGTCCCAGGCTATGGGAGGTGATAACTAGCCCAGGCACTTGCCCAAATCCTTCCACACACTCTGCCACCCACGGACCAGCCACCTCAGGGCACATTTCAGTGTTGACTCACCCAAAACCTGCCTTCTCTTACACCAGATTACACAGACCCCATGATATGCCAACCGTGTTAATTAGTAGCATTAAACATCTCACGTAAGGCTGAGCAGGAACAATAAAGCCACCCACACCAGGTGGGAGTGGGAAATGGGATCCTCTCCACAAGGCAGCTCCCCCAGCAGAGCAAGGCCATCAGTGCCAGGGCAAAGCACAGAGCCATGCTTTGTACTAACATGTTCCCAAAGCCCAGCAAAGCAAAGAGATAAGAAATGCAGCCAGCAAACTCTGTGACCCAACAGGAGCTGCCTGCTTAGTTACTACTATGGCTGAAGCACACTTTGCACAGAAGAGCCATTGCCTCAAGCCCCACACTGAGCACCAAACTGTGGTGGGCTGACCCTGCCTGGACACCAGGTACCCACCAAGCTGCTCTCTCACTCCCCTCCTCAGTGGGAGGGGGCTGGGAAAAAGGAAGATGGGAACGGAATTTGTGGGCCAAGATAAAGGCAGTTTAATAAAGCAAAAGCAAGGCTGCGTGTGGGAGCAAAGGAAAACTAAATATTTATTCTCTGCTTTCGACCAGCAGGAGATGTCCGGCCACTTCTTGGGAAGCACAGCTTCAGTACACAGAGCAGCTGCTCCAGAAGACAGATGTTTTAATAAGGAATGCCCCCCATCTCCCTTCTCTTAGCTATTACTGCTGAGCAGATGCCATATGGTCTGGAATATCCCAAGATCTTGCCCCCACCCCAGCCTGCTGGTGAGGTGGGAATGTCAGAGACAGCCTTGACTCTGTGGGAACATTGTTCAACAACAGCCAAAACACTGGTGTTTTATCAACACCTTCCTAGCTACCAATAAAAAACACAGCTCTACAAGGGCTGCTAGGGGTAAAATTACCTTCAGCTCAGTCAGACCCAATATAACTGTTTATTTAAAAAATTAACAGAAAAATTTAACAAAATCACACCGGACAGTGAGGATGTGAAAAGCCAGGCAGCACTGGGGGCATCACAAAGAGAAATGCTCTGCAGGCCCTGACCAACCCAAGGGCTAGATGTGCAGACAAGCACCTCCAAGCGGATGATAAGACTTGTCCACTTCTCTCATTCAAACAGTGATACTGTTTATTAAGCAGGTGAGGTCGTAAATTAGAAACCTGAAACTCTTTGTGCATCCTCACTAGGTGCCCAGGCACTTGGAGGGCTCCAATGGTGGTAAGCTTTTAAAAAAAGTTCCATTTGAAAGCAACCACAGCTGCAGTTGCAGCTTGGAGGAAGCCACCTGCTTAAGTGCAACATGAAGAGTATGTCAGCATAAGTTGTGTGTGACATGCTGCATTTCTTCTTGCCCAAAATCCAACAGAGCTGTCCTTTTTTTTCCCCTTGTTGCCCTGTATCAGCACAGAACATCCTCTCTAGCTCAGAAAGAAGGGAGAATGAACACATGTATATGCACAGTCTAAGGAGAGTTACCTTTTGCTGGAACTTGGATCTCACTCCATACCCCGATCACAAATGAGAGAACAGGGCTAGCTCTGGAAGGACAGAGCCCTCTACGAGCTAGGAGCCACGAGGCAATCAATAGATTGCAGGCTGGTGATTTGCCTTCTGCATCTGAATGATCTTGCCAAAGCCACCTCTTCCCACATCGTAGTCTGTCCGGTATTCATCCCGCACCTGGGGACAGCAACAACAACACAAATATTAACAGCCAGCACTGCCTGTCCCCTGCTAGGCTTCAGAATCATCACCCCTCCTTGTTCACTTGGTGGGGAACTGAAGTCCGGATTAGAAGCACTTCAACTCGTCTGAGATCTCTTCAACTAATCCACCAAAAAGGTGGTAATGGTGGTGAAAACGACCAAAAAGGATATATCTGATTGTTTAGATTTTTTCAGGTAAGAAGCAAAGAAGATCCCAAAGTATTTTTGTTCAGCTTCTCAGTACAGCCTTCTGAACTGCCAGGCTTGGCCTTCAGAACACTTTATCTCATCTAAACCTTGTCTTTGCCCTTGGGGAAACTGCTGTTATGAGATTGGCCTGGCAGCCACACTGCTTCCTTCTACTCAAATTCTGGATCATTTCAAGGGTACTAGCTGGGATTAGGGAACATTCTGCTTGCATTGCAGGAAGTTTGCAGTCCTAGACAGAAGTGGCCTTAAGTTCTATTTCCAGCCTTTAACACCAGGTGTCAATTACTGAAACAACCCGGGAGTGAGTAAATGTCATTACCAGGTCTTTACAGTCCGCACATTGTTCTCCCTGAGACAAAACCAGCAAGTAAGTACACAGAGTCTTACAGGCTCAAACTCGGGGATGAAGTGGCACTGCCTTTACCTGTCCTCCAGTCTTTCCTCTCCCATACTGCCGCCCCTCCTTAAAGCCTGCGTCCCAGTCCGTGCGGATGATGCGGTCGTCCAGCCGCGTGCCGTTGATGAACCTCATGGCGTGCTCAGCGTCTGCTCTCGTGTAGTACCTGGGGCACTCTGTAAGGACAACTAAGTGTGCTTTCTGTTGGGTACATGGGAAAAAAAAAACCACGGGAATTGTTGTATTTGTGTCCCCACTGCCTTCCAGCCTTTTCTACTCTTCCTGCTCTTCTCTAAACTGCACTCATGTAAATCCAAGGTAAGACCAGCTAATGCTCAGAAAGGATTCTGTACTTTAATGTTAGGACCTGCACAGACAAGACAATGGAACAAAGACATTAAAGCCTTGCTAAGGGCAAGAAGTCAGTAATAAGCCTTTTTGCACTATGTAAAACTTGACTGAAATAGAACAAAAGGAGCAGGCTTCACAGGAGGGCTTTGCACAGACAGCTCCTGGCACAACCTGTATAAGCGTGTACTCTCTGCTTGAAAATGGCCCCATGGCTTATCCTGCTACTTCCTCCAGCTGTGCAGTTGAGATGAGAAAGTAAACATGTGCTCTGGACACGGAAGACATCAGATTGATGACTAACAGTTCTGATTTTGCCTCTAAAACCACTAAAGAAATTAATGAATTAAAGGGGCTCTCTGCCACCTCCAGAAACAACAGCTGTGGTGGCACTTGTCACATACGGCACCACTGCACAATCAGTCCCAGGGTGCAGTGGGAAGGTGCAAGGACGGCCGGGATGTGCCCGGTAGGAAGCACTTGGCTATCACCCTTCCAGCAGCAGGGCAGAGCAACCGCAGGTGCCAACCACACCCGTGCTGACAGCAGGGAACCAGAAAGGATACTCTACAAAGCAGAAGCCACACGGGGTCTTCTTGATCTTGTCCAGACCCATGACAATCCTCTTGACATCCCCGCACTTGGAGAAGAGCTCCTGGATCTGCTCCTCGGTGGTATAGAAGGACAGGTTGCCGACATAGAGCGTGGAGGAAATCTTCAGCGATTTCTCCTGCAGCTGCCTGCTACCCTGCGGGCACAGAGGCGCACGCCGCGGGCTCAGCGCGCTCGGGGTCCCGCTCCCGCCGCCCCGTGCCCTCCCGCTGCCCGCTCCCGGCACGGCCTTGCCCCGGCCTCAGCCCTGCCCGCCCCGGCCTGGCCCTGCCGCCCGTCGCGCCGGGCGCACCCGGAAGTGCTGGTCGCGGTACTGGCTGATCTCGCAGTACGAGTCGCTGTTGAGCCCGCTGAGCGTGGTGTGCAGCAGCCCCGACATGGCGCCCGCCCGGGCCCCGCCGCCGGGCCCCGCTCCGGGATCCTTCCAGAACCGCCGCGCACCGGACGCGGCCAGCGGCGCGCGACGGACGCCGCTCCGCCGCCCCGCGCGATTGGCCGCGCCGGCTGTCACTCGGGGTGGAGGGCGGGGCGAAGCAGCCAGACAGCCAATCGGCGGCGCGCGGGCCCGTCGGCACGGCCGTGGCGGAGCGCGCAGGCGCAGTGCGGGGGTGCTGCTCCCGTGTTCGTGCCCCTCACGGAGCTCCGCTGAGGGGCCATGGCGGGGCCGCGGGCGGCGGCCGTGCAAGGTGCCGCGGGTCGCGGGCTCTCCCCTCCCGATAAGCACCGCCACTGGCTGCTGGTGTTGGGCTGTGTGTCACGCCCCTCTGCCCTCCTGTCTTACAGCGCTGGTGCGGGAGCTGCTGAGGGAGGAGGCGCCGTCCCGCATTGCCGCCCTCACGGAGGAGCTGTTCCAGGCGGCGGAGGGCATCTCTGAAGCGGACGGGGTGGTGGCGGAGGGAGAGCCCCCCGCTGCCAGCCCGTCTGGGGAAACGGGGCGTGCCGGTGCTTCACACGCCACAGCCCTGGCCCAGGTTGGTGCTGCGGCTCCATAAACACCAGCTGCTGCTGCTGCTGCTGCTGCTTCCCACCTTGGCAGGGAAGCTAAACGTGTAGCACTACTGAAATGTAAAGAAAAGAGTTCACTTCTTCGTCGTTTGCCCCAACAGCGTGAAAGTCCCAAATAAAGTGGGAAGTGTTGTTTTTAAAAGTCAATGAGAAATTATGATCCTGAGCGTAGAAGTGTGTGTGTGGTTGACTCTGCTCTCATGAGACCCCAGCTGGGTGTTGTGTCCAGGGCATCGGAAGGATGTGGACCTGGAGGGTGATTGAAGGGCTGGAGCACCTCTCCTGGGAAAAACAGACTGAGTTCAGGCAGAAGAGAAGCCTTACAGCACCTTCAGTGCCTAAAGGGGTTCCAAGAGAGCTGGAGAAGGACTTTGGGCAAGGGCTTGAAGTGACAGGAAAAGGGGAAATGGCTTTACACTGAAAGAAGATTGACTTAGATTAGATATTAGTAAGATACTGAGGGGGGCAGAGAGGCCCTGGCACAGGTTGTCCAGAGAAGCTGTGACTGCCCCATCCATGGAATGCCCAAGCCAGGCTGGACAGGGCTTGGAGCAGCCTAGCCTGGTGAAAGGTGTCCCTGCCTGTGGCAGGGGGTTGGAACTGGGTGGTCTTTAAGGTCACTTCCAACCCAAACCATTCTATGATGATAGTGGGAAAAATTACTGGTTACTGATGCTGTTAACATATTTATTATTTCCAATTACTAGTAGTATCTAGTTGTAATTTTAAGTAAAAATGCAAGCAGAGAGCACTGATGCATTAAGAGTTCAGTACTGGATCAGAGGAGAGGTCCTTCTCTCCCTGTCTGTGGATTCCCATAGTGACAGCAGATAACCCAAGGAAGAAGAAAACAAGCAAGCATGTTATTTTAACTGCCTGCTAAACAATATTCTAGTACACAATATTTTACTGGAGGTACTCATTTTCAGTCCTTGTAAAAGTTTATCAGGTTGCCGTTTATAATGTTTAGTTTTTCCTTCTGTTTATTTCTCCTAGAGGAGTGCTTAGAAAGTAGTAAACATTACTTTAAAAGTAATTTTTTCAAAGAGAAATCTGGTAACACAAGAATCTGAAATAAGGGAAAAGACCAGCTGAGATACTGTCCAACTTCTTCCTCTAAAATTATATTTTCAAGAGACATTTAATAAGTAGCAATTATCAGCTAAGGAACACTGATTTTGGAAGTCCTAAATTTGCAACAAGGAGCAAGATAAGTTAGCAAGAGTTGTAACAGAAAGTGTCAATAGCACAGTGTGTAAAGAACTGCAAGAGCATAAAAGTGGTATCCTGCAGTTCCTCCTGAATCAGTTGGGCTAAATTATTTTTGAAAAAAAAGGAGAAATCATTAATTTGTAATCTGGCCACATCAATAAGAGGGGCTATGAACTCTCTCCTAGATAGGCAAGAGTGTGTTCATAGGCAAGATCTGTCATGAAAAGTAGAATAAAGTGGTGGAAAATGCAGCCCCTCAGGGTGGGTTGCTAAAGCAGCTTATTGCCTTTATGTAGTGCTGTATCTTTTTAACAAGAGTGTATAGTCAGTAACCTTTGTTCTTTGTCTGCTAGTATCCAAAGTTTCCCAGTGTAGGTATTTAACGTCATTAAGGTACTTAGTGTTCTTTTTGATGTGCAAAAGAGGTGAAGCCTTGCTACAGATAGTTCTCAAATGTGACAAGATTCTTAGAGTTCTTTTCCAAGCCCTTCAGGTTTTAGGTGAAGAAATGCTGCATCCATTCAGCATGCCTGTTTGCAGGTCACTGTCCAACGTGTCCCTGTGGGATCCTGTGACAGATTTATGGGAAACTCACACCTTTGCTGTAATAGGGAGCTGTGTAAACGTGTGGAGAGGCCATTCCTGTGCAACACATGAAAGATGCTTCTTTTTTTTTCCAGTAGTAAATTTCAATGGGATCCACATCCAGGACAAAATTAAATTGAGTGGAATTCTCCTCTTCAGGTTGAAGAGAGTGCAGTGAGCTTGTGGAACTGGGCTGTGACCAAACACACGGGTGCTGTTATCAGTGATGAGCAAAGAGCCAAACGTACGTATGTCCTGGGCCTCCCTAAAGCTGTGCTGTGTGCTGTGGCATGGAAACTAAACACTCTCTGCTGGCAGGCACATAAGTAGTGCTGGAGATTTGTTTAAGTCTTTGCAGACATGGGCTAGAAATAGAAAAATGTACTGGTGGGCTTGTATAAACCAAGAGGAAGCATCCTGGTGTGATAGTTACCTTCTTGTGACACAGAATCAGTGTAGGCATTCTTATCACCCCCCTTTCCATGCCAGAGCACCAGTAAAGAGGTAATGTGCCCAAAGGGAGCTGTAATTTGCATTTCTCATAGTGTGGTTCAAATCTAAAAATGTATGGAAATAACACAGATGTAAGTTTTAGACTCTAGGTCACTTTATATCAAGTGAGATTTTTTTTTAATGTAACTATCTCATCCATGTTTACATACAGACACATTCTAAGTCCTCTTTTCACTGGCCTGCTACAGCCAGGTGCACAGCTGGTGGGTTCTCTTGGGCCAGGAGCAGGGCTGAGGAAAAGCAGAAATGGGCTTTTGGTCTTTTCCCTCAGCATGTTCTTTCTGTGGTTCTGTGGGATTGCAGTGTCAGGCCTACATTCTTGTTTTGAGGCATTATAGTCAAAATTATGTATAATCTGCATCATATAAATTATACCAGGTAAAGGGAAAAGGGTAAGTTGACACAAAGTAGAGTGTGATGTTCTCAGATCACACCTGAAGGGCCAGGGAGAGGCTGTTTTAAATACATTTAGTGTTTTTTTCCATCCCTGATGTCTAAGGAAGGCCTGAAAATATTTTTGCTTTTTACTTTGAAACTGTAAAGATTATTAAACTTCATTTCCTTATTTTGCTGAAGGCTATTTTGAGGCTTTCAAAAAATGTTACTGTAAGCACCTGCAATGTAATTAAATCTTTTAATACCATGTATTTAACTTAAACTCTCTCTAAATTGTTTAATAGGTATTTTAATGAGAATATGTATTTTTTTTCTTACTGCCTGAAAAGCAATTTTAAACATCTTGGCTAAAATTCAGATTGCTTTGACTCCTGAAGCTTTCAGATTTTTTCTGTCTCTTGATTTAAAATGCCAGATAGTCTTTCAGATATGGCAGGGCTTGACTTTCTGTAAAAAAAAATGAAGTAGAGAAAAGGAACCTTTTGAATGGCTGCACTGTTCTCTTGCAGTGCGGTTTGTTGCCTGCAGACTGATTTGCCTTTGTGAAGGCAGCGATCCTCCGGAGGGAACTATTCGGAGACAGATTTTGGTAAGGCTCATTGTGGGTGAGTGATGGAATACAGTTGATCCCCCAGGGAATCAAATCTTATTACATTTGCTTTGGAAAGGGAATATATGTCTAGTTCTGGAAGGATAACTGGTGTTTTGGCAGGAGTATTGCTGACTCTCTCTTCTCATCAGTTAAGGAAAGATAAGATTGATGATCCCATTTTTTCCCTTTTAAGAAAGCAAAGTACATGCTGAAGTGGGACCTGTATCTAACAGGGATACCTGGGTGAGCCATTGGAGCTAGGAGTGTCTGGACAGTGTGGTTAGCATCACATCTTTTCACAGAGTAAAAGGACATACATTAATTTCAGTATCTTATAACATTGTCTAGTAGGCCACTCTAAGTCCTACGCTGCATGTGGGTGATCATTCAGAACTGAGAGTTGCTGGTCAGAAATTGCACAGCTGAAATACCCGTATCCTGTGGCAGATGTGCAATGAGATGAGAGCTTACATTGCCTTTCTTGAAAGTGACTGCATTTTCACAAAATACTTACTATTTCCTCCTTCAGATGTATATGAAAACTGGGAAAGGATGGATAGATATTGGAAAAGCTGGTCTTGCAGATGGATTTCTAGAGAATGCCGTGAATGTAAGTTCTTTCCCAGTTTTGATTTCTTACATACACCCCCATTTGTAAGTTCCAAGGGTGATGTCTGCACTTTGTTTTCCAGAGCATAGAAAAGCTGTATGCAAAGTTACGGAAGGGGAGCGAGGGTGAAGCAGATATTCAAGTGCACAGAGCTGATGTGGAGAAAAGCCTTTTCAAAGTACTCTCGTACCAAGCTGAATCAGTATGTGTTCTCCATTTTCATTATAAGTCACTAGAGGTATAGAGGGAAACTCTGACCCAGTTATTAGATACCTGAATGCTTGGCATTGAGAACTTGCTGAGGGATAGGTTTTCTTCACTTAGATAGAAGATAGCAGATCTCATGTTTACATTCAGTGTTGCAATCATTTAATGATTTTTAATTTCCCTCATTTATCGCAGTCGTTCTTGCAGTGGTGTTTATATCTTCTAGTTCAGATTTGTTGCTTTATGATTTGGCTATCATGGCTGTTGATAAAATAAACAGCTGCCTGTATGAATCATAAATGGGTCAGTTCC